AGGCTCAATGTCTGTGAAATCCAGGCCTTGCTACCTATTGATACATGGCATTAACCAAACATAAACCAACCTTGGTGTAGTGGTTAAGAGCACAGACTCTAATTTGGGAGAACCAGGGTTTGATTCCCACTCCTCTACATGCAACTGCTGGTGTGACCTTGGGTCAGTCATAAGTTCTTTCAGAGCTGTTCTCTCAAGGGCAGTCTTTATAAGAGCTCTCTCAGCCCCACCTACCTCACAGGGTGTCTGTTGTGGGGAGGGGAAGGGAAAGGAGATTGGAAGCCACTCTGAGACTCCTTCGGGTAGTGAGGAGCGGGGTATAAATCCAGTCTCCTCTTCTCCTCTTCTTCTAATAGTTTTTCAAAAGAGGTAGAGCCTTAAAGGTCTTTGACAGGGTAGCTTAACTCAGTCACCTTTTTGGCTTGCTGGAGTTTCTCAGATATCCCATGCAGCAGTCAGCCATATATAGCACAAACAGAATCTTGCCAGCTCTTGCAGAAATACAGGGTGTATTATCCCTCACAGCACAGACTGTGGAACTTCCAGCTACTAGATTTCATGGCCTTAGAAGCCTTCTTATCCTGATCAGCTGTACCTGGGCAGGAAATAATATCCAATTACCCCCTCTCACAGACAAAACTGTACTTTATCATTTTGAGTTCCTGCTGCCTCCAAATCTGAATGAAATATTTCCTCAAGGGCGAGCTCAGCTACCCACACAGTCAGGATGGGAAACACCCACACTGTCACAGCCAGTGATCCGAAACCACAGCATAAATAATATATTAACTCACATGAAAGATTCCCATGTGAGCTACTTACAGAAGTAAATAGCTTAAACATAAATATGCACAGTAATCCTCCTCCAACTTGCCGGGTTCCTTTTTCCTGTGTCTCAACATACAGCACAAAGGCCAAAGTTGATGTCACGTTTTGGGCAGGGGTCGTTTCGTAGAAAAAGAGCTAGGGGGACTCATTGGCATAACTCATTAGCATATGCTACACCCCCTGACATCACCGGAAGTGTGTCATAAGGCCACACCCCCTGACATCACTGGAAGTGTGTCATAAGGCCACACACCCCGCCCCCAACGGTCCCGGACGCCGGCGGCGGCCTTGCAGCTCCACTGCCAAGCCCCATGAGGGGCCCGGCGGTGGACCTGCAAGGCCGGCGGGAGTGCAAGGAAGCCCCGCGAAGGCCCTCCCTGGCCCTAGGCAGGCAGGGGTGGGGAGAGGCAGGGAGGAAGCAACTTACCCTCCCTCTTCTCCTGCCTCCTCCTGGCTGAATGGGGGCCGGAAGCGGGGCAGCCGGAAGCAGCTTTGTCATGTGCCCCGCCCCCCATACCTCACCCGGGGGAACTGTGATCCCCCGCGATCCCCCCCGAAATGACCTCTGGTTTTGGGGTTAGTTGAGTCTGGGTTCCCTTGACCGAACTGTGTTCCCTGCAGCCAGGCAGCAGCGGCAGCAAATGTCATGTTGAAGATCGGAGCGAGACCTTTTCTACTGGGAACTGTTGTAGGGAGGGGCGAATGTCATGTTGAAGATCGGAGAGAGAACTTTTCTGCTTGGAACTGTGGTACAGAAGGGCTGCCGCCTCTCCCCATGCCATTTTGAAGAAACTGAAACCCTCTCTGCCATAATTCCAAGCGGAAAAAGTCTCTCCGTAATCTTTAAATGTCATTCCCAGCAGCTGCTGGGGAACCCAGACACAGGTCACCAAAAATGTAATATCTGGTGTTATGTATCAGGACTATATACCAGAGAGTGGCTGAGCTTGGAGCGCTAGAACAATAGCCCACAAGGACTCTGTAAGTGACCAGTGAGAAACCTCTGTCATGTAAATAGCCTATAGTTGGGAGTAGGGTGCGTTTGGGTGTGGTTTATTGCATTCTATTTAAACAGGGCTTTTGCCCTGGGGTTTCAGTCTTGTTCCTGAAATCACTTAATAAAGTAGAAGTGTTCATTGCAATGCGTCTTGAACCCAGCATTTAATACTGGCGACGAAGGTGGGATTCGAGGTTTGGCCTGTAGTCTACTAGGGTTGCCAGGTTTCCCCTGGCCACCAGTGAGGGATGGGAGAGCTTAGGGTTGCCAGGTCCAGACTGGGAAATTCCTAGAGATTTGGGGGTGCAGCCTGGGAAGGATAAGGATCTCAGTGAGGTATGATATGAAGTCCACCCTCCAAAACATCCATTTTCTCCAAGGGAACTGATTTCTCTAGTCTGGAAATGAACTGCAATTCCAGGAGATCCCCAGGCCCCACCTGGAGACTGGCATCCCTAATGTCTACTGCACTAGGTGACATGCTTAGAAGGCCTAAAAACTGTTATGTTAATTAGAGAACTGTACCAGTACAGAGGTTGTGGACCAGGGAAGAGCTGAAACAGGGAGGATAACGAGGTATCGGAAAGAAGGAATTTTATATATTGATTCACACTGGTCAGTCAGAACAGTCTCACACAGCTGAAGTGGTGCTAAGCCAAACAGAGCCGCTCAAGTGCCTGTCGAACACATCCCACCCCCTACCATTTTGCAGTTCAAGGGAAGCAACCAAAACAGCAAATTGATCAAGGCTTTTTTTGGGGGAGGGGGGTGCCATATATGACAGGTGGGCTATGTTTCGCAAGGCGTGGGGCAGTGTTCCCTCTAAGCTGAGTCAGTGTGAGCTATCTCACAGCTTTTTAGCCTCCAGCTCACACATTTTTATCTTAGCTCAGTAAGGAAGGCTCCAGAACAAACTAATTTATGCAGTAGCCAAACCACTCGCTCACAACTTTAATGCTAGTAGCTCACAAAATAGAATTTTTGCTCACAAGACTCCACAGCTTAGAGGGAACATTGGCGTGGGGTGTCACAGGCCTAAGCTGGCTCTAGGTCATTAAAAATATATATATACGTTTCAGGAGACCTATGCACTTCTGTGGATCCTATTTGCCAGGGACAACCCCAGTTTCCTGAGCTCAGTGCCTGCTCAATTAACTGCTCCTATTTTGGACTTTTGAAGAATGCCTTGTTAAAGTTTTGTGAGCATGAGTTGTTCACATTACCATTCTTCAGGGTTCAACTCTATATGCAGCGTCTGTAGGACTTAAACATGCAAGTAGGAGAGAGTGGATACTTTTTTTCACTAGCACAGTGTAAACACACAGAGAGGCACGGCCACTGAAGGGTCATGCACTGTATAGCCCGGCATCACTTATAAGAACAGCTGCTGAGTTCCATTTTGAACTTTTGAGAACGCATCTGACGGCGACAATGCCTTCCTAATGTATCAAAATCACTTTCTTGACTTTCCAGTTCACAAAGGACAGGCCATTGCAAAGTAAATAAATACACCACCGTATAAGAAGGAAGCCTACAGCCTGCAGGAGTGTGTAAGAAGTGGAGCGTTACAAGTATTTGTCTGTCTGTGTAATGTTGGAGGGTGTTGTCAAGGCCTGCCAGGTGTGCCCCAATCGATTAGTCTTTAAAGGGCAACATGACTGCTTTCTGTTTTTTCTGCAGCAGCTAACCCTTTGGATAGGGATGTCAGTCTCCAGGTGGTGGCTGGAGATCTCCTGAGATTACAACCAATGTTCCCTCTAAGCTGAATTAGTGTGAGCTAGCTCACAGGTTTTTTACCTTCTGGCTCACACATTCTTGTCTTAGCTCAGGCCAAAATCGCTGCAGCCAAATCGCTCGCTCACAGCTTTAATGCCAGTAGCTCACAAAGTAGAATTTTTGCTCACAAGACGCCACAGCTTAGAGGGAGCATTGATTAGAGCTGATCAGCTCACCTGGAGAGAATGGCCGCTTTGGAAGTTGGACCCTGTTATGTAGTGAAAACTATGTAAAGCTTGAGTCTGAATCAGGATTGTAAATAGACCAATCAGAGCTGCGCAATGTTCTGGTGGGAAGCACTCTGATTGGACCTTATCTGTAAATAGTTATTGGTTGTTAGCTGACATGTGGGCGTGGCCTCCCAAGCCCGTACTGTTTAAAAGAGAGCCTGTTGCTCTATGTTTTTGTCTTGTTCTGATTTCTTCTGACTTTGTTAATAAAGCTGATTCACTGTTCACTAGCTGTGTTGAGTCTCGTACTTAACAGACCCTATGGCATTATGCTTCACTGAAGTCCCTCCTCTTCTCAAACTCTGCCCTCCTCGGGCTCCAACCCCCAAATCTCCAGGTATCTCCCAACCTGGCACGGGCAACCCTACTTTTGGAACAGGCTTCCAGTGCAGATTAGAATTCTGTTGTGGTCAATAAGTAGTAGGATCAGAGGTCATTTCGGGGGGGAACGCAGTTCCCCCGGGTGAGGTACAGGGGGGTGGGGCACATGATGAAGCCCCACCCCCCGCTTCCGGCTTTCATTCAGCCAGGAGGAGGCAGGAGATAGGGCTGCCAACTCCCCCGGTAGGGCGGAAATACCCCACCCCGGAGGCTCCGTTTCCCGACGCCGGGGAATCGGGGCCCGGGGGAAACCCCTCCCCGGCGTGCGCGTCACCGGAAGTGACGTCGCACGCTGGGGGCGGGGCCACGATTAGGGTTGCCAAGTCTTCTTACCTTGGTGGCAGGGGAGCCTCGCTGGGCTCCGGGAGCTCTTCGGCGGTGCGCGCGCGCCGCCAGCACGTCACAGGAAGTGACGTGCTACGTCGCTCACGTTAAGGGCGTGGCCCAGATCGTCGGAGGGAAAACCATCTGGGCCACGCCCCCAACGTGAGCGACGTGGCTGGCCACACTGCGCTTCGGGGGGCGGAGTTCCCCCCGGGGCCCAATTCCGCGGCAGCGGAAATCGGGCCTCCAAAGTGGGGATTTCCCCGCCCCCACTTGGCAGCCCTAAATTCCCTGCCCAACACTTCTGTTTAAAATACATGTTAAATGTCTATGACCATCTCGTGCGCTTGAGACATCGAGGAAAAAGTTACCTGTTTCCAAATCAGAATACCCACAGGATGCCCCACAGGAAGGGGTTTGATACACACTGTGTGATAATTTCCATTTTGTTTTTCCCCCCTCAGGCAGTACAGCTTTACATTTGGCTACCATCGCTTGCCAGCCTCAGTGTGTGAAAGTCCTTCTGCAGGTAACAGAGACTGCTCTTCCTTCCTGTCAAAGCCTCCCAGGCCTTCATTTGTTTCAAGCTTCATCCCCTGCTTCTGGGCCTGTTTTCAGTGCTGGTGGTTCCCCTCTGGAATGCGGGAAATAAAGAGAAGGGTGCCACTGAGGATGTGCGAAGGACTTGATGGGTCACAAGGGTGGCGAGATGGTCTATGGTTGTGCCTGTCTGGATGATTCAGTAACATTGCCGTTCTTCAGGGTTCAGCCCCTTCCCCAGGATTTCAGGCTCTGAGTGGGAAAGCATCCTTCTTGCTTGCCATTTCACTGTGTGCTTCGTTTTGAGCTGATAACAGATTTATTTGTTTACTTACTTATTAAGCTTCTATACGATGCTCCTCGCAGAGCGGGCTCAGAATGGTGTTTATAGGAGAAGTATATTTTTCTAGAGTATCTTTGACTAAAGAACAAGCACCTCATTGGCTTTTAAAAACAGTGCAGGACAGGCTACGGCAGAGTAAATGCAGGGCTATTTTTGGGCAGGAACGCACAGGAACGGAGTTCCGGCTGGCTCCCAAGTTGGCCACACCCAGCAGGAACTCATTAAGAGGCCACACCCAACAGCAGAAACTTATTAGGATTGGCTACATTGGGGTGTCTGGCCTAACATGCAAAGGGTTCCTGCTACAAAAAAAGCCCTGGGTTTTGACAACAAGGTAAACAAAATAAGAAGCAAAAGGTGGGTGTGGCTGGATGACCACACTTCTGGCAACATGGGGGTGTGGCCTAATATGTTAATATGATGTGCTATCAGGGGTGTGGTCTAATATGCTAATGAGTTTCTGCTGTTGGGTGTGGCCTATTATGCTAATGAGTTCCTGCTGGGCTTCTTCTACAAAAAGAGCCCTGAAATGAATGCAATATGCAGCAGACAAGGCAGTGATCAGGGCTGCCATTTGCACTCTACTAGCGGAACTGTCACTAGGGCTCCCCTATCAGTACTCAAGGGGGCAGTGGGGGGATATGGCGGAGCAAAATGGCATTCCACAATGCCACACTGTTACTTCTGGCTGTGTAGCCAGAAGTGATGTTACTACATCATGGGATGTTCTAGGATTCACTTTTACCATAGAGTTTCAGGCAAATCCCAGAGCAGGGGTCCCAATCAATGTTCCCTCTAAGCTGAGGAGGCTTGTGAGCAAAAATTCTACTTTGTGAGCTACTGGCATAAAAGCTGTGAGCGAGCAATTTGGCTACTACATAAATTAGTTTGCTCTGGGGCCCTCCTTCCTGAACAAAGACAAAAATGTGTGAGCCGGAGGCTGAAAAACTGTGAGCTAGCTCACACTAACTCAGCTTAGAGGGAACACTGGTCCCAATATGGTGTTTTTAGAAAGTGAGCAGAGGCAAGTGGGGCTTTTGGCCAGAGGGACTTCTGATTGGCTACCGGTGATCTGATTGGCAGTGCAGATTTTTCCTAAAACAAAATGAGCCCATACACCATTGTACCAGTCCGTTAAAGAGGGGCCCGTTGCTTTTCTCCATTTCCTTGCTATTTCCATCTTAGCAATCAACAATAGAGTTGCTATCATGGTTTAGATTTATATAAGTTACTCAGTTGGCCTATTTCTAGAAGGATTACTTCAGGTTGTCGAGAAATGGTTGTACCCAAGATTTCTTCTATTTGTGGAAGTACCTGATTCCAGAATTTCTTAACCACAGGGCAACTCCAAAAATGATGTAAATAATCTCCATATAAGCTCTTCCAAAATGTTTTTATGATATTGAGAAATCCATGCGGGTGTAAGATACCATCTATTTAAAATTTGAAAGGCATTAAATTTAATTGTCAGAATTTTAGAAGTAAGGCTAGGTTAAAACAATGTGTTCATTTAGAAAGGTGTCCTGTTAAGCTGAACTTCGGCCTGAAATGTTGAAGAGTTACTATTAGAGTTATAAATCACCTGACTTCCTGACATTTTTTGGTTGGCTCCATCTCCTAGAATCATTGAATCATAGAGTTGGAAGGGACCGCCAGGGTCAACTAGTCCAACCCCTGCACAAGGCAGGAAATTCACAAATACCTCCTCCTCCTCCACACCTCCAGTGACCTCTGTTCCACACCCAGAAGATGACAAAAAACCTCCAGGATCTCCGACCAAACTGGCCTGGGGAAAAATTGCTTCCTGACCCCAAAGTGGCAATCAACATTTCCCTCGTTGTGTAAGAAAGGGCCACAAGAACTAAGCACTGAGGCAACCCTTCCTGCCCTCCCTCTCATGATCACAGAATCAGCATTGCTGTCAGATGGCCATCTAGCCTCTGTCTGAAAACCTCCAAAAAAGGAGAACCCACCACCTCCCGAGGAAGCCTATTCCACTGAGGAACCGCTCAGTTCTTCCTAATGTTTAGCCGAAAACTCTTCTGATTTAATTTCAACCTGTTGGTTCTGGTCCGACCTTCTGAAGCAACAGAAAACAATTCTGTACCATCCTCTATGGAGTGCAGAGGAAAACCCACATAGGCGGACTGGAGAGGCAGCAGTGCAGCACTGGGCAGATGTCCCCACAGTGCTTGACTGCTGCAGATGAGGCTCTTCTGCCATGCTGAAGCCACAATAGAGTGACTCCGCCCACTCCCTCCAGCACCCCCTCCCTTGCAACAGTTGCTCGCAGGCCGCATAAGAGTCCTAGATGGGTCCCCGGGCATTGTTTTTGACACGGCTGTCCTAGAGCATCCCATGATGCATTGACATCACATCTGATTACACAGCTGGAAGTGATGTAGTAATAATAATTATCATATGGCATTGTGTGTAGTATATCCAGGAGATCCTAAGATTGTCTGGCAGCCAGAAGTTCTAGCTCTTTAGCATTATGCACCAGTAGGTGGTGAGCTAGACTTGTTTTTGAGGCAAGAGACATTTCAGAGGTGGTTTGCCATTGCCTGCCTCTGCGTCATGACCCTGGTATTCCTTGAAGGCTGCCCTTCCAAATACTAGTCAGGGCCAGGGGTCATTTGGGGCCGGAGCGCGCCGGAACACCACTTCGGCAGCCAAGGAGCAGGCACAAGCCTTTAAACCCTTTCTCTCTTTGCTCCCCCCCCCCGGGGAAGGGAAGGGGAAGCTTTTGAAGATGCCTCCCCCCTTTTTGTTTTCCCTTCTGACATCACTTCCGGTGATGTCAGGGGGCGTGGCATATGCAACATTAGCTATTATGCTTTTATGCTAATAACCTATTAGGTATGCTAATGAGCTCTTGCTGTTGTTTTTCTACAAAATGACCCCTAGTCAGGGCTGACCCAGCTTAGTTTCCAAGATCTGGTGAGATCAGGCTAGCCTGGGCTATCCAGGTGAGGGCAGTGATCTAGTGGCATCACTGGATGGAGCTAGGTAAGTCCCACCCCGACCAGTCTCCCAGGGGTCGCAGCAATCCCCAGTGTGGCATCCATGGGTGCCATGCCATGGGTTCCTTAGATCCATAGCAAAGTCTTGTGCCTAGTTTTGCTTTTGCGACTGAGCCAGTCTGGTAAACCATCTAGTCTGTACTCACACATGAGCAGCAAACCTCGGTTGGAAATGGAGATATCTTGCTCTGTGGGCAATTGTATTTACTTTTTTATTTGATTGTTAAAGTCCTTGCAACTCCACTGCGTGGTGCAATGAACGAAACAGACATGCCCCCACCTGCAATGCTTACTATCAATTGGCCCCACCCTAATGAGTAAAGGCATGGGGAATGAAAGATGGAAACCTAATTTCCCATAAGTCACAGACGAAAACAGGGACAGAAAACAGGAACATTCTTTGCCACTATTTTCAGTCTAAGAATTGTTGTCTGACCTTCCCCTCTGAACTACAGATTGCCAAAGGCTCTAGCCTCATGCTTCTTGAGGTACCCATTTACTTCTTCTTTAGGGTAAAGGTACTCTGGAAAGGTGTTACTATCCTACAATCTGGTAATTGTTCTGAATAAGCCTCACCAAATGACAGGCTGTGTTCGAAATGATGGAGGCGCCTTAATAGTCATACATGTTTGCTTAATGGTATGTATTAGAGACAGAGAAGGTGCATCCATTCCCCACTCAAGAGATTTAATTTCTAGAGATGCTAGGGAAGATGCTGGTCCCTACAGAACAACAACATTAACAATTCAAATTTTAATAGGACATCATCCCAAAAGAGAGCACATGAGAAGGCATTTACATGCACAACTGGGGAATTCTGGTCATTCCTGCCTTATATGGAGTCCAGCCATTGGTCTATCCCGGCCAGGAGCATAATACAAGAACTTGTGGGGCACTCAATTAAATTGCTGAGCAGTCAGGTTAGAACGGATAAAAGGAAGTACTTCGTCACCCAAAGAGTGATTAACACATGGAATTCACTGCCACAGGAGGTGGCGGCGGCTACAAGCATGGACAGCTTCAAGAGGGAATTGGATAAACATATGGAGCAGAGGTCCATCGGTGGCTATTAGCCACAAGGGATAGCTAGGGGCTCTGGGGCAAGTGATGCTCTGTATTCTTGATGCTTGGGGGGGGGACAACAGTGGAAGGGCTTCTAGTGTCCTGGCCCCACTGCTGGACCTCCTGATGGCACCTGGTATTTTTGGCCACTGTGTGACAAGAGTGTTGGACTGGATGGGCCATTGGCCTCATCCAGCACTGGCTTCTCTCTTACAAGGTGATTACTTCAGTTGTTGGGGCACCAGAAATCCCCTCCCCCTACATTGCGGAATCCAGCTGGTCAAGAAATGAGAAAGCCAAAAGTCAGTTCCAAGTTTCATAGCAACAGCATACGTGAAGAGAGAGCTGTCAGTCCTCCTCTGCTGCTCTAGAAGGGGCTGTTTTACCTGGCAGAATCAGTGGGAATACAGTTGCCAACTCCAGTTTGGGAATTTCCTGGAGATTTGGATGCAGTGTCTGTGGAGGGCGGAGTTTAGAGAAGGGGAAGAGCTCAGCAAGGATGTCATTATTTCCTAGAGGCCATTTCCTCCATGTCGTTTCAGAGGGCAGCAGCCATGTTGG